AGTATGTGGAAAATAATGTGTTTTTTTAACTTTAAACCGCATAAACACATTTAATTACACCAAATACACAAAACAATGTTCTTTTTAGCAGCATCATATGACCCCTTTAAGTGATTGTAGTACAAAGATTATCCAGATTGCACAAGTCTGGGCTGGTCTGTCTTTATCTGCAGTGCCATCTGCTGGATCATGCTGGTGAGGTGTCAGTTGTAGTTGAGGTTAGAGAATAATGACAAGTTAGAATAGCATTTAACTGCAGTCGTCTGCCAACTGATTTTGTATTGTTACATTTTAATGTTCTTCAGAGAGTAACATCAGCTGTCAATCTTCAATAGACCCATTTTATTTCAATAGACCCAATTTATGTTGTTAAATTGTATGAAAAAGAAATGTACGAATATATATATATATATATATATACACACACACATACACACACACTGCTGTTCAAAACTTGGGATCAGTAAGATTTGTAATGTTTAAGAAGTCTCTTCTGCTCATCTGCATTTATTTTATCCGAAATACAGGAAAAAAAACAGTAATATTGTGAAATATTATTGCAAATTAAAAATAATTGTTTTCTATTTTAATATACTTTAAAATATAAATTATTCCTGTGATGCAAAGCTGAATTTTCAGCATCATTACTCCAGTCTTCAGTGTCACATGATCCTTCAGAAATCATTCTAATATGCTGATTTATTATCATATTGAAACAGTTTTGCTGCTTTATATTTTTTTTGGAAACTGCTTTTTTCAGGATTCTTTGATGAATAAAAAGTTAAAAAGAACAGCATTTATTCAAAATAGAAATCTTTAGTAACAATATGCACTACCTTTCAAAGGTTTGGGGGTCAGTAATTTTTATTTTTATTTTTTTAAGAAATTAATGCTTTTATTCAGCAAGGTGTGTGAAATTGATAAAAATTGATAATAAAGACTTATATTGTTTGAAAAGATTTCTATTTTAAATAAATGCTGTTCTGTTTAATTTAATTCATCAAATAATCTCGAAAAAAGTATCACAGGTTCCAAACAAATATTAAGCAGCAAAACTGTTTCAATATTGATAATAAATCAGCATATTAGAATGAATATTTAAAATGACATTTCGAAGTATATTCAAACTAATGTTTTGTTTTATTATATTATGTTGTAAGGTAGATAATGTTCTTGATCTTGAAATAAATTGATTTATAAATTGTTACTGAAGACTATTTTAAACAGACTCAAGGAGTAAAAATCAGCTTTGCATCACAGGAATAAATTATATTTGAAAGAATATTAAAATAGAAAACCATTATTTTAAATGGTAATAATGTTTTACAATATTACTGTTTTTTCTGTATTTTTGGTCAAATAAATGCAGCTATATGAACAGAAGAGACGTCGTTAAAACACAAATCTTACTGATCCCAAACTTTTGAACAGCAGCAATTTAATAAAAAATAAATTAATTAATAAAAAATCATCACTTTGTAGATGTCTTCATTTATCCATATGTAAAATACAGTTATTCAACTGATTTACATTGTTAGGAGCATGAAATGTTAACTGTCTGGTGGCCTAAACAAACTGCATGCAGTTTATGTTTTTTTACAGTCTATGCTTATAACGTAAACGTTACATAATAGCCCTAAATGTCATCAAACAGTATCACAAAAGAAAGTACCAAAAACGAATACAAAAAAGATTAGAAATGTAAACACTAAGAGCTGTTAGATTTAGTGAACACGCAGATAATGAAAAATCAGTAAACTCACTGAACTATAGTGCACCTTCGCTGGTTTTAAATGGGAGCGCTTTGTCGAGTCTCGACCATAGACTGTATGCTGTAAGTGCGTGCGTGGGCGTGGCTGAGTAGCTCGTGTGCGGTGACGTGTCCGCGACCGTTGGCTACAGCGAGAAGTGAGCAAGCGCTAAATTCAAAATTCAAAATTCAAAACTCAAAACAGCTGAGGAGCGTGTGGCCAGAGAGAGAGCGGAGAGACTTTTACTCCCTCATCAGACAAATAAAGAAGAAAAACAAAGAGGATTGTGCTTTGATTTAAGTCTATATCAGGATGGACCCATTCACGGAGGTGAGTGCCCTTTATGACAGCTTATTTAGTCGTTAGTTAATTAGGGAGGTGTTGAAATAAACTAGCGCTGGTCCACTGTGCACCAACTGCTATTACTTTACCTTTAGATAGCATTAAAGTTCTGCCTTCTGTCGTTACTAATTAACTTATTGTTTTACTATAACTTATTGTTTTATATTAGCTTATAAAATCTCGATTTGCAGTTTTTATGTACATTTTAACGTTTGTGTAAAGCTAATTTTTCTCTACTTGATCTTAATCTAGCATATAACGTTTGCAAAGCCAGCATTACTTTTACTAGATTTCAGCAGAATTTAAACAAACTGTTGCTGAATATGTATTATATGATATGTATTTGTTCTTCTTCTTTTTTTGTTTTGTTTTTGGGGCCAGTCATACTTGCCTTTTAAAAATGTATTCTGTTATGTGTGTGTGATTTAAAATCTTTACTAGATTTCAGCAGAATTTAAACAAACTGTTGCTGAATATGT